GCGTGGAAGCGGCGGCTGCGGAGGAGAGGCGGCGGCTGCCCCATGGAGTGTTACTACATTGTCATCAGCTCCACGCATCTCAGCAACGGACACTTTCGCAACATCAAGGGAGTTTTCCGGGGCCCTCTCAGCAAGAACGGGAACAAAACTCTGGTAATCTCTCTCTCTCTCTCTGTGTCTGTTTCTCTTACTGTGTCTCTGTGCCTTAACCGTCTCTCATCTAATAAGGCATATCGGAAGAAATGAGTTGACTGGTGAGCTTGTGAGCTTTCGCGATTTTGTTTGATTAGCAAAGCATTCATTTATTTCGTGTATTTATCTGATGGGCGTGGGATGAGACTCGGGTGTAGGAAAAGGAAGAGAATCTCAGCAAAGCTCTGATTGAGATTCCCGGCCCCCCCCCCCCGACACTTCATGAAGCTTTCTGTCCACCACACTCCATATGCTGAAGATTTATCAGTCCCTCCTTATTTCAATAGGACTTCTTAAAAATAGAAAAGAACCCTAACTTCAAGTGATCCCGTGGCACCTTACATTTTAGGCAGCTGAAGGTGAACGGTGGTGTAGGTGTCTATGGTGAAAGAGGGAGCCAATGTGTCTGGTGGTTTAGGGCAAGAGGCTGGATTGAGTGAGGGTCTCAGAAAGAGTTCCTTTCTTGGCTCTTAGCTTTTGGCTGAAGGACGGACAGATAGGAAACTTCTCTTCTGAGAAGTTGTCTGTACTAAACAGAAAGATCCCATCAGTCCATGTTGTCAGCTTGTCACTCTATAGAGTTTAGGGATATAGGTGGAAGGTGATCACTGTGATTACAGCCAGTAGGCAACATCTTTGAAAACAAAATCCACACAGCTACTCTCACTGGATAGCACAGCGTGGCTTGCCCTTCGGCATCCAGTAGGAAAAGCACTCTTGATTGGTGGAAGATGTGCTGAGCATGGAGACAGTGCAGGGAATAGCTCCTACGTTCTTTCCATCCAAACTGTATCGCCAGGAAGCCTCCCTACAGGACCAACTCTCAAGAGCAAGTGTGTCTGGAGAAGTCCACACTTCTTCAAAGGAAGAGAACAGTAGCCTGAGGTCTCTTTAGTATGCGTACTGCAGCGTTCAGCCAGTCAGATGGTAAAAGTGTATGACTTTGTGAAGTCTGTGCTCGCCGGCAAAATTTTCCCTAATTCTCCCACTACTCACTTATCTGAGAGCAGCATAGTTCAAGGACACACTTATCTCAAAAGCAACGGTGGTTTTCTTAATATCATTTTCTGTATGTGTCTACATAAACCAAAAGAAAAAAATTGGCTAAGAACTGTTTTTTGTTTGTTTGTTTGTTTTGAGGATAAAGAGTTCTCCATAGAAGTGTTCAGTGGATTCAGACTCCCACAGGATGCGTTTGATTTACCCTTTTCTTGAATATTGACTACCAGCTTTTCGGTGATTTACACACAAGAACCCAGGCTTAGTTTGATATCCTTGTTGTTCGGGATGTGTTTACTTGCTGTTTCTTTGCACAGCAGAGCACACACTGCAGACCTCTTTAGTTGAGTATTGTGGGGAAATCAAAGTCTTGAAGACTTACTGAAATGGTCTGGGCTCTACTTAGAGAGTTTGGCTAACACTTTTTAAAGAGGAAAACCATTTCTTCCACACATTTGGCTTTACTCATTAAACCAAGTATAATTCAAGGGCAAGCAAAAGAGGGAGAATTTCCAACGTGTAGATGCTAAGACACTCAAGAGTTCAGAGAAATGCGAGTTATTTGAGAACCCTGAACTTGTTTCCGTGCTTTCCGCACTGTTCCTTTTGCCTCTTCCACCTCCTTGGGCTTTCCAGTGACTCCGGTAGCTGGCGATCACTTATTTGCTGTGCAATTGCACCTCTTCACCACTCATGTTGACAAAGGACAGATGAAGAGTGGGTTTTGTCTGTGTAACCTCATGGTTAAAATGGGCACATTAAAAGCCGCCACCTAAATTAATCAAAATACATGTAAATGTTCGACGCAACAAACAGGGAGATGCACTCTGAAATAAAGTTCATAATGTTTCTCATAACTATAATGTAGGGGTGGACCTTGGGTTGGTCGTGACAACCCTGCCCTGTCTGAATTTGCTGTGTGTGAGTTTCAGACTGACATAAATGCAGGGTCTGCTCACATTAGTTTTCAATTTAAAGCTATTTTTCATAGAATATATGTGTATGTGTTCTAAATGCTTTGGGTGAGTTTTGCCATTGGGAGAAATGAGAACTATGCTTGTCCATAAGCGTAATGAGAGGCTAGATGTATCAATGAGAGAATTATGTTAATTAATAAAGATTAGTTCATACTTATATAATGATATCATCTTGACAGCAACAAAAATTCTTCGAGCCCTACTATAATGCTATTCTTAATCAGATCCAAATAGATAATTTGACCTTAAGTTTAAAAAGTCCCCACTTTCATATGAAGCAGAGAGATTAACTTAAAATGAAAATATACTATGTGACATAAAATTTCAAATTAATATTAATGCGTATCATATTATCATATTTTTTATTTTACTTCTTTAGTTTTAAGGTGATAAGTTGTTTGTGTTACATATACTCAGTATTTTAAAAATATATATCCATACAGTAATAATCAAATCATAAATATTTAACTCTTTTATGTTTGAATTTCATGTATTAAATGTTTCTTCTAAGATAAAAGAATTTTAATGATGTCCATGTAAACATCTGTTTTTTTTCTTTCCTAAGGAGATAAAACCTAAAGCTACAGAAAAACAATTTTGATTTTTCCCAAGAAATTGAGTTATTTTCAATTACTTGTTGGTTAATACGTGTTTTGTTAATTTCTTCAAAGTTCAGAGTAAATAAAAGCTATTGTATGGCCTTACAATAATTCTGAAGATGAATTTACTCTGTAGAGCTTTGAATATAAAATGCTATCACAAATTAAAGTTACTTGCAACATGTCTAGTTTGTTCAGATTTCAGTGCCATTGGCTCATCGCTTCTGTTCTCAAGTGAAAGACCACATTTATGTTAATGAATTAAATAGTCACTATGGGGAGAAGACCAGTCAATAAATTAGCTTATTTTCTTAGTAAACCTGGAACTTCCTCTATCAAAAATGGCAGATGTTCTAAAGAACTAAGAGCTTGGTGAGAAGTTGTGGTTGCCTTTGCATCTATCTATCTATCTATCAATCTATCAATCTATCTATCTATCTATCTATCTATCTATCTATCTATCTATCTATC